GAGGGACGCCAAAGTTGTTGTTCCTAAAATCTGAATAATAAGAAGTCAGTTCATTTTGGTTATTGTGATTTTTTATTTCAACATTTTGTTTTCTGTTTGTCAAATAAAATTCGAGCCACTGCAAAGGAAGTCCTCGAATGCCCATATTTTCCAGTTTTTTAAGAAGATTTTTATGGCCTACGAAATCGAAAGCCTTACTGAGATCAAAAAACAATACAGTGGTTAGATATGAATTATTTACACTTTCTAAATCAATTTTTTGTGGACTGATGACACTAATCTTATTACAATATTCAGAAAGGCGCAAAAACATGCACTTTTCGATTATTTTTGAAAAAGTTGATATAAATGCAATAGGTCTGTAATTATTAACATCATCTTTTCACCCTTCTTAAACAACGGTTTAATTATTGATACTTTAAGCTTTTCTGGGAAAGTACCTGTTGAAAAGGATAGATTTATAAGATGTAAGTAAGTATTTTTATAAAATTATCGATGGAAATTTTAATAATATTGGTACATATTCCGTCATAGCCAGTTCTTTTTGAGTTATTAAGAGATATGACTGCATTTCTGACTTCATTTTCTGACATTTCTCTTAGAAACATTGACTTGAGCTCTGTAGAATTAGTTTTAAGTTTATTATTATTGGTTTTATTACTACTGATGTTATTGTTGTTAGTCATGTTAATAAAAAAGTTGTTGAGGTTATTTGCTATATCAGTTGGGCAAGTTAAAATAGTATTATTATCTTTTATATTAATAATGTCAATATTGTTTGAATTATTACCTATTTCATTATTTACAATTGTCCATGAAGTTTTATACTTATTTATGCTCGTGTTGATCAAATATATATTTCTATTTTTTTGATAAGCAAATACATTTTTTTAAGATTTTTGAATAATTTGTATAGATATGTTTACTAAAGATGTCTTTGTTCATATAATATTTATATCTAAGTAGTCTTTTCCGTTTACAGCTAATCCTTAGTCCTTTACTTATCCATTTAGCTTTGTTGTATGTGTTGTTTATCTTTATTTTCATTTGCGGGAAACATAGATTGTAAAGGGGGAGAAATAAGTCATGGAAATTTTCAAATGCTCAATTTGTATCGGTTTCTTCTAAAATGTCATTAAATGTTAGATTGCCAAGATATCCATAAAATTTTTCTATATTTTCAGAGCAGTAATCTTTTTTGTAAACGTAATAGGATCTAGGTTTTTGTTTCACAGATTTAACCGGTATTTTCAGCACTTGGGCAGTGTTGTGATCAGATAAACAATGCGGTAAGATGACTGCTATTGCTGATTTAATATTACTTAATATATGATAATTACAAGACGATTTTCGGGTAGGTTCTTTGATATAAATCGTTAAGTTATAATTTTGTGCTAAATCGTTTAACATAGTTGTAAATTTGTTAGACTTTAAAGTGTCAATATTGAAGTACTCTGTCAACACAATTTTCTTTTTATATCCATACTTTTTGTATAGGGTACTAAGCAGACAATTCAATTTATTAAAAAAAATTAACATCACTTCTGGGGGTTCTATATAGATTTATAATAATAAGGTTGTTTCCTGAGATTTCAATGCCGCAACACTCAAAATATTTTTCTATACCATAGTCATCTAAAAATAATATTTTATTAAAAAGTAATTTTTTTTACTAGGATGCAACTTCCACCTCTTTTTTCAAATCTACAAAAAATTGCCCCTAATATGTAGTTATTTAATTTAAAGAAATTTTCTGCCCCTTTTTCTATGAATGTCTCCGATAAACAAATAATATGTGGTTCGTTATTGTTCTTCGCGAGTTCTAATATAGTCATCTCCAAAATTTCTTTTTTTAGCTGTTGCACTAGCTATGTTTTGATGTAGGATATTTAAGTATTTACTTGGGGATCTATTAGACTGAGACACGAAAAAAATCACGCGTATTTTTAAGCGGAAAGTAAAAAGGTATAGTAACTTTTCGTTTTGATGTTCCGTTTGCGGTGGGATGGACTGGCTCGTTACATGATTCGCTTAAGCTTATTATATTCTCCATAACACATGTTTCATTCCAGCGTCTTTTTTCCCCTACCGTTTCAAAGACATCGTTAAATATTATTTTTATACCATAGTTATTCATATTGCCCGTGTACATATCAAACCTTTTAAAGTCGTATTTAAGATTCAAGTTTGAGTCTACAATATAGGCGTATTCGTATTTTACATTGTCCTCGTGAAGCAATTTATTGAAAGATTCAATCCTCCAGTTAAATAGGTTTGCATATTTTTATACCTATATATTGGCAAACAAATAATTACATTAGTGTGTGAGATTTTATACAATGTTTTTCTTATATAATTTACTAAATAACGACAATTAATTGATCTTTCAAAATCATTGCTTCCTAAAATTATCACACAGTAATCTTCCATTGTAATTTTTTTTTTAATTTTAAATTTATGTTTAATAACAACTCCTCTATCCCAGAACCAGGCTTACAGTAATGACAGAATCTATAATTATGAAATTTTATTTCTAAATTTCATAATTATTGATTCTGTTTCTTATGTTTATGTCTTATATTAAAAAACCAATGACAATAACTAGTACGCCAAATATATCGGCCATCGGGGGTAGATGATTTCGATAATAGATATATATTGACCCTACAGTGCGATCTTCAAAAAAATGTAGAAGCCTACCGCTTACAGCGCAAAAACGCTGATTCGGTAGCGAGTGTTTTTGTAGATAACTTTATTCTAAGGTATGGAATTCCTAAGGAAATTATAAATGATCAGGGAACAGAATTTCTTAACAAATTTATGTCAGAAATTTGTAGTCATTTAGGCATTAAAAAGTTGCAATCCATAGCGTAACAACATGTAACTATGGGTTTCACAGAAAACACACATAAGCAACCTGGCACTTTTCTCAGAATACAGTGTGAAGCTAATAAACGAAATTAGACTACTTGGGGTTCCGTACTGGTGTTTTTCGTTTAATATGACAGAACATTCACAAAAAAGAGAGAGATATACTCTCTACGAATTAGTTTTGGAACGAATTGTATTTTACAGCTGGTAAGTAAGTAATTCTGTGACACCGTTATACAACTATGATAATTATCCTAAAGTATTCCAACACAGACTACAAAGAGCATCGTAAGATGCACGTAACAATTTATTACAAAACATATTGTGTAGAAAATATACTTTTGACAAGAATTGTCATCCAGTTTCATTAAGAAGGGTGATTTGATTTTATTAAAAATCAATTAAGATACCAGTTAAAATATATAACGGACATATGAGGTGATACGAGATTCACCGAATGTTGTCATATTAATAAATGATACAATGATACATTACAAAAAATGACAAAGTCGATCGCATCAAATACATAGTATCAGATTTACGAAATGTTTGCGACGTAATTAAATTCCCATAAGTAAGCTAGTTTTAAGTATTCTTGGCTCTTTTCAATAAACGTACGTACATCTGGGTAGATGCAGTTTCTTTTAACCTATCACTGTCTTACTTTTCAGAAAGAGACGGTCTGTAAAGATTCGTTGTGAATTCATTGCTATTGCCATGGAATAAAGTCTAATTTTATCTAATATTAAAATACGTTTGTAATACTTATTAATTAAAATTTGTATGAACAATTGAGTTTCAAATAATGATCATACAACGTAACCGCTTGTATGTGTGCTCCCGGCGATTCCAGTACAACTTAAGGCTAACAACCATTCTATTATGTATTATAGTATTCTATGTTTATTTTACAATTTACAAAACACTCACAGAAAACCAGCGTATAATAGCATATTAATGCTGCGGTATTTCATATGAGTGTAGAGAACTGAAGACCCTTTTCACTGAAAACGAGGCATTCCATCGTAGTTCTCAGTGGTGACCTGCATTTTGATACTTGATCGAAGATAAATGTAGATGTCTATGGCCCACTTCATCCACTTACTAACGGGAGGGCTGTTTGCTCGTTTGTAAAACCCTATTTATTAAAAAAAACTTGTGTCAAAGTAATCCATTCTGAAGGAGACCTAGTAAAACGTCGATTTGTGGGTTTGGAAAGGAATGTCTTTGCCAAATTGACCATCGGTATTTTGTGACACTGCTCGCTTCTTCGTAAATGTACTTCATATATTATCTTCAATTTATGAACTAACTAAACTAACGAATTATATAGTTAGTGTATTAGTAATTATATATGTAGGACACTTCCACGATGTAGAAGAATATACTGGTACCCCCCCCCCCATACTCTTTTCAAAATAACATATGTGCGCTTATTTATGCCACTAGTTCTTACAACATATTTTTTTTAAATTTAAAAAAAAATTAACTGCCACACTTGGCCTTTCTCTTATCGTATCGTGGATAGTTTGTTGTTATTGGCTGTGCTCATGCAGCATGTCTTGTCAGTGTCATTTAGCTTGAAGAGAAACTCCTGCCTGTATAGGTGGGCACTTAGTTTTTATATGCACTGTTACTAACTGCTAAGGATATTCGAGGTAATGGCATTTAACTACCTCGTGCACTTTACTCGGTTCTAGGAACTTATAAGAAAATTCAACTGTTCACTACAGCTTAATATGAATGCCAACGTATAGGCATAGTGGAATATCAGTAGTAGTACATGAAGTGGCTAAGGGCCAGCCATATAGCTTACCGACATGCGATAAGAAAGAGATTTTCGAGTAGCAGCCTTGTTATGGCTAGCGCAGTGTAAGATGACTACTCTTCAATCCAGGTAAGACACGTCATTGTAATTAGTTAGCGGAAGGTTGCGAAGTAATACATTATTTATTAAGATGACTACCTCTAAATAGAGTGACGACCTGATAAAGCATGTAGGTAGCCGATAGATGCAGGTGACTCAGGCCCTTAGTTTGCGGTAATCTGTAGCTGAACGCTATGTTCAGCAGTAGAAATGTGATGGGCTGTATTGATAGTTATAGTGTGATGATAAGTTATTTAATTACCTGCAAAGCAAGGCATAAACCCACCACGATGAATCCTCGACGTGACGATGGTGATAAAACTGTAAGAAAAATAAGATTAATTAAAATATTTTTTATTTGCAAATTGTATGTGGTTTCATTACCTCTAACTGACACGAGCATATCTTATACTCAGAATCACCAAACGGTATTCGCTGAAGATTATACAGGTCTACGCATCAACCTCGGCACATCCCTATGAGGATATTGAGGAAATGTATGAAGATATTTCTAGAGCCATGCATTCCTCCAAAACCCGCTATACGGTGTTAATGGGAGACTTCAATGCAAAACTAGGCACAAGAAAGAACGGTGAGCTGAAGGTAGGGAAGTTTGGGATAGGCCAACGGAACCCAAAGGGCCAGCAGCTGGCCGACTTAATAGAAAGAGAAGGACACTTTATGATGAACTCTTTCTTCCAGAATCGGCCCCACAGAAAGTGGACCTGGTCGAGTCCCGACGGTAAGAAAAAAATGGGATTAACTTCATTATAACGACTAGACGGGAACTGTTCAGTAATGTCTCAGTGATTAAGGCAAGGATAAAATCTGGCAGCGATCGTCGAATGGTTAAAGGCACACTGAACCTTAACGTTAAGTTGGAGAGGTCTCGTTTAATGAAGACAACGCTCCGTCCCCCCGTGCTCTAATCCAAAGTCCCGAAACCTTTCAGCTCAATTTACAAAAATTTTCCGTTTTCAATGCCTAGAAGACTGCAAGTAGTGGATGATATAAATGATAAGCTCGTGGAAACTGTCCTTGCGGTCAGAGCTAAGTTTTGTAAGACCTGCAAAAGAATACAAAAATCTCCGATCACACTCTTAATCTCATGGCTATTAGACGGAAAATGAAGCTTAAGTCTTCAACAGATTTGACAGCATACAAGCAATTGAACAGACAGATCTATAAATGCATGCGGCGGGACTTATGCTACTTTACACTCGTCTACGTGTACTGCTCGTATTGAAGAAGCGACCGAGCGGAACCAGAGCTTTAATGTCTTTGCCAGAGACTTGTCTGCCGGAAAGAGCCAACTTTCAAAGCTGAAGAATGAGTGTCACAGCATCGTTTCCGGGACACCTAAGATTTTGAGTGAGATTGAGAAGTTTTATGGGCAGCTGTACTACTCATAGTGGAGCTACACGCAAGTGTGAGTAACGATCCAAGAGCAAATCTTATCAAAAACCGGATGGTATCCCGGACGTCAGTCTGGGCGAGATTAGAATTGCTCTCCAGCACCTTAAAAACGGTAAGACCCCAGGCGACGATGGAATTACAGTGGAGCTTCTGAGAACACTATGCTCAATGACCGCAATAGTGTCTCCCAACAGATAGGTATTAAGATAAACATAGATAAAACAAATATATATATATATATATATATATATATATATATATATATATATATATATATATATATTATTTCCGGCCATATAGTTCGAAGAACCGACAACCGATGGGGAAAAAAGGTTCCTGAGTAGCAGTTCCGTACTGGTAGGCATAGTGTAGGGCGACCCCCCATTAGATGGAGTAACGACCTGGTAAGACGTGCAGGAAGTCGATGGATACAGGGGACTCAGGACTGTGGAATTCAGCTGTGGACTTGAGAAGGGCTGTGATGATGATGATGATTATGGCACGATCGCGATCACGGTAAAGCAGGGTCTTTGACAATTCTTCTGCTCTACTGATAATTTAGAGGTTATAAAACCACATACAATTTGAAAATTAGTTTTTATTAATTAAAATTATTTAATAGTCTAGTCTAAACTATATCAATTTCAATAAGTTTGAATACCGATTCTGATAACACACATAACGGAAAACACGTGGTTCTTATTACATGTTGTATATTTAAAAATATATACTAACTTCTCAAATTTAGTACAGATTTAAATTAGTAGGTATATTGATTTATTTGATGTTTTTAAAGTTTACAGAGCTACTAAGGCTGTAATTGGAATATAAAACATTAAGATACTTACATAGTAATTTGAGAGATGAAATTTTCGTTTTCATTTCTGGAGAATCATCATCCGTATTGAGCTTTTCCTTCTCCGCTTCTTCTATTTTAGAGTTGTCTTCTGTAACAAAAACTGTTATGCTTGACAAATTTTCATTCCGACTTTATTACTTTAACTTAACGTTTATCGTTCTTCTACCGTTATTGTTTTTATTGATTGCAATCAATTAAATTGGCAGAAATTCTAGTAACTAATAGACCTCATAATTAGGTCTTAATTTCAAAACAATATGTAACCAGTAAACATACGGTCTACCTTTCCGATGCTCGCAAAAGTTAACAATAAAATTAGGGCTCACAGAGATTTTTGGGGTATTTTAGGTAACAATAATATCCATAGAGTCGTTTAGACCAAACTTCGGTCACGGCGGCGTGTCTGAACTGAGACTAGCCATCTGTGCAGGGACGAGATTATAGTGTCAAGTGTATACTCATTCCCTCACCCCTATAGTCTGATGAAAAAAAAATATCCGATACGCTTGGAGTGAGATCAGGGGCAGAACTAACGACTTTACGTGCCTTCTTAGGCACGGGGGTAAAAAACTGTCAATTTCCCGACATCGGGCTACTACATAGAATTTCTGGGCAGACAAACTCAATTACTAACTTTTGCTCCGCCACGTAATTCGAACTGAAGACCACCCAAAATCACCAACAAGGCTGTCAAATAAGGTTAAGTAATAATATGGAAATACTAAAGCCTTAGTGGTGAAAGAATCAAATAAATAAAAATACTCAGGTACAAATGTTGACCTCCAATTCCGAAACACTTATCTCCTTAAATAAATTAATTTTTGAGATATTTATTCTTCGATCTATCTAATAGTTCTAGATCTCACATGAAAATGTGGATTGATAGACTAATTAAATTCATGAGCTGTTGACTTTTATGTAGTGTGTATAGATTTTACGATGCCAAATTGCTCATACTATTTTTAGAATCTTCTTGAATTTATCAGAAGCTTTTGTTGTTTTCCAATATATAATAATAATAATAATTCTTTATTATCAAAAATTTTGAAGTCTCTGACTCACAAACTAGACGGGTCTGTAACTTAGGAATCAGCGGCTTCTCCCAAAGATGTAGTACAGGTAACACTAAGAGAACTATGCATGTTTTCATTATTACAGTAGTAAAAGTAAACAATTCCAAATTTAAAAAAATATATATACACATATTATATATACACATAAATATCAAAATATAAATTACGAATTAACATAACCGAAACGTTAACATTAATTTTCATATATTAATCACTTCCCTGTTTTTGTTTATTTATTTATTTTCAAACTATTAATTAAATTATATTAATAAATTTTCTGTATTATTGTAATCTAACGACAACAACCAATCTCAAACTCTAATTTTACACTCATGTTTTGAAAATGGATAGAAATTTAGAATTTTGTTAAGTTTGTTATAGAGTACCATAGAGAGATATGCGCTTTGTCGTCTAGCAAAAACAGTGCGACATCTGAACGGTGCCAGTACGTTGGGTATTCTACTTGTGTTACGACAGATCTAAAGGTCGTAGGGTGTGTGATCGTGTTGCTTGGTGATCAAATGCTGTACGTACTATATATATATATATATATATATATATATATATATATATATATATATATATATATATATATATATATATTTTTTTTTATATATATTCAACACACCGAGGTATTTTAAAGTTTAAGATTTAGTTATATTAAGGCAAGAGAATTTGTCTGTTGACTTTAGGTCAAAAAAATGTACCTTCAGTTCTATATACTCAACAGCTGGAGTATTGGTAATAAGGAACTGTAAGTACGGTGATTTAGACACGTTTAGTGTTAGTAAACTGTCCTCAAACCATTGTGCCACACATAGGAGACCCCTTTCAGCAATGACCTGAACATCAGCCCAAGTCTCTCCATAAAATATTATAGCCGTATCATCGACATAAGTGAATAAATTGCCATGTGTTAATGGCATACGACAAAGGTCATCAATATAAATTAAAAAGAGACTTGGACCTAGGATACTTCCTTGAGGGAAACCACCAAAAGTGATACTAGCATCAGAACTGATGAAGTTTTTAATCTTAACTCTCTGCACTCGATGACCTAAGAAGCTTTTAAAAATAGAGAGGGGCGAATTTCTTATTCCGATATTGTTCAATTTGTGTACAAGAATGGAAATCGAAACGGTGTCGAAAGCCTTGACTAAATCAAGAAAAACTCCCAAACATTTTTTTGTTGATCTAACTTATTGGTTACAAATTCAGTCAAGCCGTTTACCGCGTCTTCTGTGCTAATAACCGTTCTGAAACCAAATTGCGCGCTTGATAATATATTGTATTTGCTCAAGAAATTCACCAAACGGTTATTCAGCAGCCTTTCCAATATTCTCGAAAAAGCTGGCAGCACAGAGATAGGTCTGTAGTTTTCGAAACTGTCTCGAGCTCCACTCCTGTAAACAGGAGTAATGAGAGACCTCTTAAACACCTTTGGAAAGCAGCCTTGTTCAAAACAAATTTTAAAGAGGTTGGTAAGCGATAATATAATTATATCTTTTCTCATTTTAAGAAACACAGCAGAGATAGAATCCCAGCCAATAGCACAATCATTTTTAAGAATTAACAAAGTAGATTCTACCTCCGTCTCATCTGGTGGGTAGAGCACATAAGAGTTAAGAGATCTGTGGCCAAGTTTGATCCACAGATCTCTTAACTCTATATATATGTATATTGACCACGATTTGCAATTATTTTAATTGCTAAATTTCTACAGAGATTATAAAAATAATGATTCGCACTGTGAATCATTATTTTATGCTCCGCAGTATATGGAAACTTACAAATGTAAGTTTCCATGTATTGCTGAGCAACTACGTTAGAATTATAATTACATTAAACATTTCAATTATTGTTGGCGAACTCAAGTTACTACTCCTTCTTTTTATGTTTATTCATTTATTTTTACTTTATCTGCACACTAAGTAAAGGCGGACTTAATGCAACACGGCAACCTCAACCAGTTTACAGGATAAGCAGAGAAGATATTGTGGATGCAAAGTACGAAGAGCTAAACGTTAAAAAACTCTACATAATAAATATATACCCAATAATAATCATCATTAAATTAAACTAAGATACATATTATATAATACTTATTACTTTACTATATAAATACTATTTAGTTAACATAATGATAAGCGATAAAAAGCAAAATTATCTCCATGCGACTCCGGCGTGAAATATGTGGTTTCCCCAGCTCGAGAGCCACCTCTTTCAATAATGTTCGTCTCTCAATCAGAGTGTTTGTATTGGCTTTGTATATTATTTGGGCATTGATCCCAGTTATATTCAAAATGGAGAAGAATAAGCGCATTGGCCATCTTGATGTGTTTCTGGCAACGGAATAATCCTCTTTCTTTTGATCTACAACATCTACGCCTCCTTTTGTGGAATTGTAAAATGTTACAATCTCAGGTTTAGCTTCACTTCCAGTTTCTTGGTCTATAGCGTCGTCATTGTGAAGTGTTGATAGCATAAGGACATATGATAAGATTATCTTATCTTCACCGAAACCAAAAATTGAACTTGGCATTGGCCTATCCTTTGTTGACAAAAAAGAAGGCGGAATCTCTTTTTTATTTTTTCGCAGTATTCCCACCGCAGTTGTTCTGTAGGTGTTTTTCAGTTCATCAAACAACGGTATGGATGTAAAATAATTGTCCATAGTTAGATTTCTTCCCGTGTTCAATATGGGTTGTGCAATTCTCTTCACTACATCAGCAGAGGAGTTACTCAAACTGAATGGCCCTGCGGGTTGTTTCCCGGCGTAAATCTCCAAATTACTTGTGTAAAAGGTTTTGGAATCTACAAGTGCATAGATTTTGATGCCGTACTTTGCGGGTTTGTTGGATATATAAACTCTAAATTTACAGCGGCCTCTGAATGATTCCAACATTTCATCCACAGTGCAGTATTCCCCGGGTGTGTAATTTTGATTACAATGAGCAACAAAACTTTCAAAAATTTCTCGGATTGGTGCCAGGTGGTCGGTTTCCTTTCTGTTATCACGAGTATTTATGTCATCGAATCGCAAAACCCGTAACAAAAATAAAAATCTTTTTATTGATATGGTTGCTCTAAAAAAATCACATGCTGTTCCATCATCTAGCCACATTTATTTTACATTTAAATGACAAATCTTTTTCAAGCCCGTCATGTACAAAACTCCGATCAATGCTTTTATTTCCTCGCCCACCATGCTTTTGCGGCAAGTATAGCCTCAATACCGACGATCTCGGATGATGCATCCTATGGGACGTCATGGTAGTGCGGACTTTTCTATCCAGGGCGTTAAGTTCAGTCTGAGTCCACCTGAGTATGCCAAAGGTATACATGAGGACAGGCCTGACACAGCCGTTATATGCGTGTGCCTTATTTACGCTGGACAAAAGGCTGTTAAGCGCTTTGGTCAAGCGTGCATAAAACAAGTCGCAAACTGACTGTTTCATACCAGCCTCATTGATACCGATATTCTGTGACATACCCAGGTATCGGTATGTTTCAGCCTCGGAAGTTTCTTAAGTTGACGGGCATAGATAAGTCTATGCCCTCAGAGTTAGTAACCCTTCCCCTTTCAACATGGAGGACCACACACTTATCCGTCCCCAGCTCCACTACAATGGAATTGCTAAATTCACAAGTGATGTTTAGCAATTCCATAAGATGGGAGCGACTGGAGGCGAATAACTTGAGGTCATCCATATAGAAAAGGTGGGTCACTTTTGTCCCTCCTTTCCGTAGCTGAAATCCCCCTCCCGGAACCCTCCAGTAAGGTACTGAGAGGGTTCAGAGAGAGGCAGAACCAGATTGGACTCAGACAATCGCCCTGGAAGATACCCCTTCTTATCCTTATGTGGTTCTCCGCAGACATCATCCGCTCGCCCAGATGATAAAGGATCGTACTCCACTGCCCCATACACTGCCCAAGGAAGTCTCTAACTGTACAGTCTATCTTGTGCAGCTCGAGGACTCTCTTTAGCCATGTATGGGCCATGCATGTATGGGGAGCCACCGAGTCGAATGCCTTTCTGTAGTCTATCCAGGCGGCGGAGAAGTTCCGACGGTTGCGTTTCACCACTTTGCCACTGACCGCGTCAATGAGGACTGGTTCCTTGGTTCCACAACCACCGCTCCGATATCCATTTTGAGCGCGCGACATCACCTGATTTGAGTCCAGGTAACGAGTGATTCTCGCGCTCAAAATGGATGTGTCTTGTATATGGTCGGTAGACACGTGATGGGTATTTGCTTGGGTCTGTGGTACCCTAGTCTTTAGGTACCAAATGGGTGATCCCAGTAGTGAAGAGGCTCGGGAGCGACTTCTGGTTGAGAGCCTCTTGAAACTGTCGGGCGAGCACAGTGTGACACACCACGAACCCCTTCAGCCAGTAGTGATGCAGCCCGTCGAGTCCCGGACTTTTCCAGTTCGGGGCCCTACCGGCCCCAGGACCCTCAGCTTCCCTACGGACCGCCTCAGCTACGTCATCCGATGTTATAATGACGGGGTCCATGGGCGTTATACTCGCAGACTGACTCGCCACAACTTCCGTCCAAGGGCCCTCGCTGTGGTTTACGGGCTCTGACCACAGGCCGCGCCAGAATGCTACAGTGTCGGCCTGATTCGGTGCTGGGCCCGTTCCACTTACTATTGGTCACTCCAATGATTCATATAGCCTCTTCTGATCACTCTGGAAGAGACGATTCTCGTTGAACCATGTCGACCTCTCGGTATATCGTCGAATCCGCTTTCCCCAAGCAGCGATTCTCTGCTTCAGATCATATATGCGCTCCGTCAGTTTTTGCGTTATATCCGGCTGGGACAAAATATAACGCAAAAACCATCCTGATGGTGCGCACAATTCTTGGCCTGTTATTGCCTGATATGAAGCATATCAGTCTGCCGATGAGAGCTCTAGCCTTTGCGATATGTTCCTCAATTCTTCTTCTCCATGCTGGGATAGCGCTACTTTGGCCAGTAGCGCGTCCAGCCGTGGAAACCTTCGCGCCTATGATACGGCAGACTACCAGCGCGGCGCCAAAAAGAATTGAGTCCGTCTCGCAAAGGTCCCGGCTGGCTTCCAAATAGGTCACCAGCATTGGGTTCAGAGCCCTCACGACAGCCGGATTCCGCTTGCTTAGGGCTATGCAGGGAAGTCGCGGTCGATTTTCGAGAGGCGTACTGCGCGTTTCCACAATCGCCTCTTCCAATGTACTCCTCATATGCTCTAATTCCAGTTCCTGGGCGACTGTTCCATCATCGTTTGAATCAACCACAACTGGGGTATTCACGGCGGCATCCACGTTTGCGGGTTGCTCTACAATTTGTGGCGCCGCATCCTCAGCCGTAGCATTTTCATCCGATGAGGGAACAGCCTCACGTCGTTGCCGTTCGAGTTCGGCGACATCAAATATATTTGAGCGCAAAATATACCGAACTGGGTCTGCCAGGTTTTGCTCTGTGACGGTTAAAGATGGCTCCAGTTCAGCAAATAGACGATGCATCCTAGCCCGATACGCCAAATTTTTCCCCTTTAGCCTTAAAGTACGCTCGCAGTGCGTTTGCGTTCATTGTTTGTGACCAACGCATGCGACGTGCTCCACCAGCGGCGGGTGCCGCTTGCTGACTCCGAGAAGACCCAGCCGACACCAAGCCTTCTGGTGGGGATTATGGCTGCGAAGGGCTGCTAGGTGACCGTGCAGCTCCTCGCGCTCGGCTGGCGGCCCGCATGCTGCCGCGTCCAGCGCCACCTCCAGACGCGCCCCGGCGACCCCCAGGCAGCGGCCCTATGCGCGTTCCTCTCTGTGCCATCATCCATTTTATGGGCGCCAAATAACGGGAGACGCCCAAGACCGCCACCGTTTCGTGGTTCGGTCAAACTGACTGTTTCATACCAGCCTCATCGATACCGATGTTCTGTGACATACCTTACTTACTTACTTACTTTTCTTCACGCACAATCCCTAACGGGGTCGCCAGAGAGAACAGATCGCCAAGTGTCACGATCCTTACATACCTCTTTCGCTTCCTTCAGGTTCATTAACTTCTTCATACATGCACGTCTAGGTATCCGAGTACTCTTGACCCTCCCCTCTTCGAGCAATTTGCTCACATGGTCTTCGAAAGTTAGTCTCGGTCTACCTCGACACCTTTTAATATTTACTTTCGCTCTATATATTTTCTTCACCATTCGGTCTTCACTCATTCGTTCAACGTGCCCAAACCATTGGAGTACGCCCATATCAATTTTTGTGATAAGGTCATCTTTCAATCCTGCCATATTGCGAATCTCTTCGTTTCGCTTTCGGTCGGCTAAGGTAACGCCACACATTTTACGAAGAGATCGCATCTCCACTGCATTCAACTTGCTTTTATGCTTCTTCTGGCATACCCAGGTTTCGCTGCCATATAACAAAGTCGGTACCAGCACTGCATTATGTATTGCAAGGCGTGCACTCTTCACCACGCCTTGCCTTTTTACTAATGCATTCAGGGCACCATTGACTTTGTTTCCGGCATCGACACGCCTATCCACATCTAAATCACATCTTCCATCCCGGCTGAAAGCACTCCCCAAGTATACAATTTCATTTACCTGTTCTAGACATTCCTGATTTACCCATATTTCACATTTCGTTCTCTCTTCGTCCTTTTCAAATACCAGAACCTTAGTTTTATTAGCATTCAAACGGAGACCTTTAATTTCACATTCCTCTTTCATACACGTGACTAATGCCTGCAGTTCTGCTTCTGATGGTGCAATAAGCACTGCATCATCAGCATACAGCAGACAATTAACTTTATGTCACCCAATTTCACACCCAAACAGCTATTTTTCAGCTTCTGTAAACAGCTGTCGAGATACAGTATGAACAGCCAGGAAGACATGACACAACCCTGTTTTACGCCCGCTTGGACACTAAACATGGGTGACAGGTCATGCCCTACCCGCACACAGGCTTTACAGTAATAGTAAAGTGACTGCACAGCTCTTAACAATGGACCATCCACACAATATCCCGGCAACAGTTCCCACATTTTTTTCCTTATAACCTTATCAAATGCTTTCTCCAGATCCACAAAAGCACAGAAAATCTTCTGGTTAACACTCAGAAGCTTCTCCGTGATCATGCGGAGAGAAAACATTTGATCCGTGCATCCTCTTCCAGGTCTAAATCCGTTCTGTGACACACCCAGGTAATTATTATTATTATTGCTGGCGTTGACTGCGGGTACGAACACCCTCCGTTTCCTCGAAGCGATAAAATTACCTAAATTAACACTTTAATTTACTTTACACAAATTAAAACTAAAAACACTAATAATTTAAACACATTAATTCACTTAATTCCGCTCCGAAGCTTCGCTTGTGTCGCCGAGTTCAACTCTACTTCGATCGCATCGTGCAGCGCCTACTTATATAAATTAGCAAAATATCCAGAATGTTCAAGTAAACACGCGCAAGGTCCCGAGAGTTCGAGTTTTAAACTTCAAGAAGTTTAGTTCTTCGGTTCGAGACTAGATGGCGCTAGTGCGCCGATTTGAGGCATTGGAGCGCGTAACATTATGTTGTTTACTTTCATATCTCGGCTTTTACCGGTTTACTAATAGCACGGGCCTAAGCCACGTGTATATTAGTGCTGGATTTGGTATTATCCTGTGAACTACCTTATTCAGTTACCTGTGTGTTAGGTTGTGAAGCAATTTGTCTAAGTATAGGAGGTATGGTTTGTTCTTCAGTTTGCATGAACTTCCTAGCTATTCTGCATGTATTTAGTATTAAAGCTTTTTGTAAAAGTTTGTATGTGTTGGGTGGTAAATTTAAAGTTTTTATAGATTGGTGTAATTGCTTCGGTATTACGCCGGTTGTCGATAGGACAATGGGCACTATTATTATTATTATTATTGTGGGGTATCTATATAGTTTTCTCATCTGGTTGGGTTCTATAAATATATAATTATAAATGAAAATGAAAGGATAAATATACATATATATCAATAACATAAAATAAATATAAAAATACATAAATAAATAAAAGCCCAACCAGATGGAGGCCCTCGGCAGGGGAGACCAAACGGCCGAGGGTTAGGGGGAAAGGGAAAGAAACCGGCGGACGATGCGGGCGGTATCGAGGAGCACCGCCTTCTGCATTTGAGCCCGGAGCGGTCCGCCACATAGTCCCAGTCGCCTCAGATGACCCGAGAGGCTGACTGGGATTAGCCCGTTTGCAGAGACGACTACAGGAATAATTTCGGTCGGCAGACCACCCCACATGTCAGTCACCTCGTGAGCCAGGTCCAGATATTTTGTTTGCTTGTCTGTTTCGGCTTTCACGAGGTTCTCGTCATACGGAATGGTAATGTCGACCAAAAATATCCTTGACTGTGCCCGGTCCATCAGCACAATATCAGGCTTATTCTCAAGAATAGTCCTGTCTGTGATGATGACCCGGTCCCAATAGAGCCTGGCGCGATCATTTTCGAGCACGGCTTCCGGCAAGTACTTGTAATACGGCAATTTCCGATCCACGAGACCGTATTTCAGAGCGAGCTCCTGGTGAAGAATTCTGGCTACTAGGTTGTGCCTGTGCAAGTACTCAGAGTTAGAAAGCGCCGAACAACCGGAGATGACACGCCTAAGTGACTCACCGGGATGGCGACAAGCTCGACAGATGTCCACGGTGCCATCCTTTAGGATGTATCTCCGATAGTTGTTGGTCTTAATAACCTGATCCTGTATTGCACAGACAAAACCCTCGGTTTCCCCGAAGAGATCACCAAAGCGTAGCCAGTGGAGGGAGGCTACTGTGTCTACGAAAGGCTCATGTAGAGCATTGTAGAACCTCCCGTGGAGCTCCTTCTCCTTCCATACGTTCTCCCGGTCGGAAATTGTCTGCACTGCCGGGTCTTGCCATTGCTCGTTGGCTAAGGATAGAGTGGGTAAGTCCTTTATCACTAGAAATGACGTCCTTATAGAATGGATCATCCGATCTCGCCAGGAAGTAATTACGGAGGCTGCACACTTCGCGATTATGTATGGTGAGCGCGCTCAAGAAGCCACGCCCACCATGCTTTCGCGGCAAGTACAGCCTCATTACCGACGATCTCGGATGATGCATCCTGTGGGACGTCATGGTAGTGCGGACTTTTCTATCCAGGGCGTTAAGTTCAGTCTGAGTCCACCTGAGTATGCCAAAGGTATACATGAGGACAGGCACCACCCAAGCGTTATATGCGTGTGTCTTATTCACACCGGACAAAAGGCTGTTAAGCACTTTGGTCAAGCGTGCATAAAACACGTCGCAAACTGACTGTATCGTACCAGCCTCATCGATAACGATGTTCTGTGACATACCCAGGTATCGGTATGTTTCAGCCTCGGAAAGGGTCCTTAAGTTGACGGGCATAGATAAGTCTATGCCCTCAGAGTTAGTAACCCCCCCCCTTTCAACATGGAGGACCGCACACTTATCCGTTCCCAGCTCCATTCCAATAGAACTGCTAAATTCACAAGTGATGTTTAGCAATTCCATAAGATGGGAGGGACTGGAGGCGAATAACTTGAGGTCATCTATATAGAAAAGGTGGGTCACTTTTGTACCTCCTTTCCGAAGCTGAAATCCCCTCCCGGAGCCCTCCAGTAAAGTACTGAGAGGGTTTAGGGAGAGGCAAAACCGGATTGGACTCAGACAATCGCCCTGGAAGATACCCCTTCTTATCCTTATGTGGTTCTCCGCAGCCATCATTCGCTCGCCCAGATAGCAAAGGATCGTACTCCATTGCCCCATACACTGCTCGAGGAAGTCTCCAACTGTACAGTCAATTTTGTACAGCTGGAGGACTCCCTTTAGCCATGTATGGGGCACCGAGTCGAATGCCTTTCTGTAGTCTATCCAGGCGGCGGAGAAATTCCGACGGTTGCGTTTCACCACTTTGCCAATGACCGCGTCAATGAGGAGTGGTTCCTTGGTTCCACGACCACCGCCCCGGCATCCATTTTGAGCGCGTGACATCACCTGATTTAGCTCCAGGTGACGAGTGATTCTCGCGCTCAAAATGGATGTCAGTGTCTTATATATGGTGGGTAGACACGTGATGGGGCGGTATTTGCTCGGGTCTGTGGTATCCTGATCTTTAGGAACCAAATGAGTGATCCCAGTAGTGAAGAGGCTCGGGAGCGACTTCTGATCGAGAGCCTCTTGAAACTGTCGGGCGAGCACAGCGTGACACACTACGAACCCCTTCAGCCAGTAATGATGCAGCCCGTCGAGCCCCGGACTTTTCCAGATCGGGGCCCTACGGACCGTCTCAGCCACGTCTTCAGGCGTTATGGTGACGGGGTCCATAGGCGTAACACTTGCACTCTGGCTCGCCACAACTTCCATCCAAGGGCCCTCGCTGTGGTTTACGGGCTCTGACCACAGGCCACGCCAAAATGCGACAGTGTCTGCCTGATCCGGTCTTGGGCCCGCTCCACATCGCTCCAATGATTTATAGAGCCTCTTCTGATCACTCTGCAAGAGACGATTCTGGTTGAACCGCCTTGACCTCTCGCTAAATCGTCGAATCCGCTTCCCCCAAGCAGCGATTTTTTGCTTCAGATCATCTATGCGCTCCGTTAGTTTTTGAGTGATATCCGGCTGGAACAAACTGATATTTGTTCCAGCAAACGCCATCCTAACGGTGCGCATAATCCTCGGTCTATTATTACCCGACCTGAAGCTTGTCAGTCTGCCGATAAGGGCCCTTGCCTTTGCGATACGGTCCTCAATTCTTTTTCTCCAGGCTGGGATGGCGCTACTTTTTTGAGTAGCACGTCCAGCCACGGGAAGTTTGGCGCCAATAATACGGCATACTGCCAGTGCGGCGCCAAAAAGAATTGAATCCGTCTCGCAAAGGTCCCGGCTGGCTTCCAAATAGGTCACCAGCATTGGGTTAAGAGCCCGCACGACAGCCCGATTTCGCTTGCTAAGGGGTATGCGGGGAAGTCGCGGTCGATTTTCGAGAGGCATGCTGCGCGTTTCCAGCATCGACTCTTCCAATATGCTCCTCATTTTCTCTAGTTCGTGGGAGACTATTCCATCATCGTCTAAATTAGCCACAAATGGAATGTTGACGGCAGCATCCACATATGCAGTTTGTTGCGCATCTAGTGGCGCCGCATTCCCAGCCGTAGCATTTCCATTCGATGAAGGAATAGCCTCACGTCGTAGTCGCTCGAGTTCGGCGTCACCAAATATGTTGGAGCGCAGGATGTACCTAACTCGGTCTGCCAGGTTTTGCTCAGTGACGGATAGAGATGGCTCCAGCTCTGCAAAAAAGCGATGCATCCGAGCCCGATACGCCAAACATCCAGTTTCTTCCCCTTTTGCTCTAAAATACGCCCGCAGTGCGTTTTCATTCATTGATTTAGACCAACGCATGCGACGTGCTCCACCAGCGGCGGGTGCCTCTTGCTGAGTCCGAGAAGACCCAGCCGACACCAAGCCTTCTGGTGGGGATGATGGATGCGGGGGGCTGCTAGGTGGTCTTGCAACACCCCGCGCTCGGCTGGCGGCCCGCATGCTGTCGCGTCCAGCGCCAGCTCCAGACGCACCCTGGAGACCTCCAGGCAGCGGCCCTTTGCGCACTATCTTTTTCTCCATCATCCATAATATGGGCGTCCATTAACGGGAGACGCCCAGGCCCGGCACCGTATCGTGGACGGCCATAAGCACAAACGGGCCTTTGCACCCTGAATTCTGCCGAGGCACGGCGCTCACACCTCTCGCAAGGCGCTGACTGACTGCGTTGACGTAGCAGTTTTGTCACTTAACTGTTGCGTCAGCGGGCGATGGGGTCGTCAATTCCCTACGCCATATTATTATTATTATTATTATTATTATATAACTGCCTTAATGTAATGAGAAAAAAATACAGCTGATATCAAAAAAGTAGTAATTCCTACTTACCAATATTCATTGCTATTAATTCAACAGCAGGCGTTATCTGTTGTTTCAGCCGCGACAATTCTTCCAAAACTATTTTCGATGCTGGTGACTCTCCTATGTAATGAGCTATAGCTAGTCTAGCATCCTGAAAATATCATGAATAAATTTAATGATTTCTTAAATTTACGCGAACACTACACATTGAATAAAAGTAAATTTACGGATTTTATCACGTTTATTTCACTACTTTTACTTATTTTTAATTCCCGACGTTTCGGGTGCTTTACAGCAACCATGGTCACGGGGGGGACTGAGATGTTTGATGTCCCAATGTCATAGTTAGTCCGGCTACCTTCAGTTTTTGAATATTAATTTTTGGTCCGATTTACGCAAAACGAGCTTATAGTATCATGAAGTCTTGCAGTGGTATGCTTAGGTTTGGGTTTAATTTTGTTAATTATAGGATCCCAAGCAGGTGGCAGCACCCATCCATCTTCTCTATTGAAATTTGGATGTTTTTTAATTTCAATAGCCTCGCGTATCATCCTTGGTAGGAATCGGTGTTCTTTTGCGAGAATTTGTGGTTTATCAAAACGAATGTAATGGTGGGGATGATCTTGAACATGTTCGCAGACTGCAGACTTCCCGGAGCGTCGGTGCTTCACGTCAGCTATATGTTCTTTCACGCGGGTTTTTATGGATCTTTTTGTTTGACCTATGTAAGAGAGACCACATTCACAATCTTACTTGTACTTTACTTGTACACTCCTGCATCTTGTAGAGGGATATTACACTTGACGGATGGTAAAAATTGACTAATCTTCTTCGAAGCTCGCTTCAAGATGTAGCCAACCTTGTCTGTGACTCCTCTGACATATGGTAGTACAGCAGGTACACGCTCGACTGTGGCTGGCTTCACTCGGTCACTGTGACGTAGGCGCAGGACCCGAAGCTTGTTGTCTTGCAATACTTGCTTGACATGCTGAAGTTCGGCGGCCAGATGTTTTCTGTCACAGATCCCTCGTACTCAAACAACAAAATTTAAATCTCGACGTGAATTCGCTAATACCATCATGTACCAAACCACCGAGGTTGTATGGGTTACCAAAGATACACAAACCAAACGCTCTACTACGTCCTATAGTGAGCCAGATTGATTCACCAACTTATAAGCTGACACAACACTTGGCAAAAGTACTGTCACCACTGAGAGGACATACGCACACACAAAGGATTCATACCATTTTGAATCCTTTGTGTGTGCTCTGGTATGTCCTCTCAGTGGTGACAGTACTTTTGCCAAGTGTTGTGTCAGCTTATAAGTTGGTGAATCAATCTTTTCAATTCGAGGAGAAAGCCCTTCTTACTGCTCCTGTAAATCCAAGATTCTACAAGCGGTACGTAGACGACACTTTCACAATTTTACCATCTGACAAAGTAACATGGTGCATTTTTAAACCACCTTAACTCTATAAACTCTAAAATACAATTCACAAGAGGCAAATAATTCTTTAGCTTTCTTAGATGTTTTAGTTATTCGAAATCCTAATAACACAATTGGTCACACTGTGTGTAGAAAAAAGACCCATACCAACCGATATTTAAATGGTGAATCTCACCATCATCCTTCACAGTTAGCTACCGTGGGTAAATCTTTGTTTCAGAGAGCACGAGGAATCTGTGACAGAAAACATCTGGCCGCCGAACTTCAGCATGTCAAGCAAGTATTGCAAGACAACAAGCTTCGGGTCCCGCGCCTACGTCACAGTGACCGAGTGAAGCCAGCCACAGTCGAGCGTGTACCTGCTGTACTACCATATGTCAGAGGAGTCACAGACAAGGTTGGCTACATCTTGAAGCGAGCTTCTATTAAAACATACTACAAGCCGCCGAAGAAGATTAGTCAATTTTTACCATCCGTCAAGTGTAATATCCCTCTACAAGATGCAGGAGTGTACAAGTAAAGTACAAGTTAGATTGTGAATGTGGGCTCTCTTACATAGGTCAAACAAAAAGATCCATAAAAACCCGCGTGAAAGAACATATAGCTGACGTGAAGCACCGACGCTCCGGGAAGTCTGCAGTCTGCGAACATGTTCAAGATCGTCCCCACCATTACATTCGTTTTGATAAACCACAAGTTCTCGCAAAAGAACACCGATTCCTACCAAGGATGATACGCGAGGCTATTGAAATTAAAAAACATCCAAATTTCAATAGAGAAGATGGATGGGTGCTGCCACCTGCTTGGGATCCTATAATTAACAAAATTAAACCCAAACCTAAGCATACCACTGCAAGACTTCATGATACTATAAGCTCGTTTTGCGTAAATCGGACCAAAAATTAATATTCAAAAACTGAAGGTTGCCGGACTAACTATGACATTGGGACGTCAAACATCTCGGTCCCCCCCCGTGACCATGGTTGCTGTAAAGCACCCGAAACGTCGGGAATTAAAAATAAGTAAAAGTAGTGAAATAAACGCGATAAAATCCGTAAATTTAGTTTTATTCAATGAATAAATTTTTTATTTATTTAATCCTAAAGTACCTCAATATGCAGTGGCGATGTTAGAATATTCACTACCCCATATCGACCCATGGTTGTAGCAAGAAGAGACAGAGGGAAACAAACCAGAAGATGGATAGCAGCGTCTTCATAATTACAACTAGATAAGCTTTTTTTTTGGCGGTAGGTGTGAAATAAAGTGCACATTGCTCTAAGTAACAAAATTATTTTTATTTATATTTTAAGTAATTTACAGTTTCCTAGTTAAAGTTTTTACTATTTTTGTGTATTTAAATACATATATTGTGGGTTTAACTCCCCTTAATGGTTAAACTGTGATAAAGTTACCTCACCCTACCACCGGTCACTTTCAACTCTCACAACACACCAGAAGATAAGTTTTCAAGAAAATGTCCACTATTGTCAAGTAAGCAAATATCCATAAGGCTGCGTTAACTTCTCTCAATCAACATATGGCGGAATTTGAAGCACAAAAATCTGCCACCACATGACATCTGATCTGACATGAAATCTCTCTCAAGCGACTTTCAAGCGTTTAAGGATAGTGTTTGGCAAATAATGTTACTACTACACCAGAAGATCAATGAGGTTAGTCAAACTGTTGACAATATTGAGATGCGGCATCGGAGAAAATATTTGTTACTAAATGGAGTTCCGGAATCATCTGATGAGAACATCTTAAATAAAGTTGTAACTGTCCTGCAGGATAAGCTTCAACCACAGGAATTTTCTTCAAGCTCCATTATAGCTTGCCATCGTCTAAGTGCAGTATCGGAAGCTCGTGTAAGACCAGTTCTGATTCGGTTTAGTGATCAGTCCATTAAGTCAACCATTTGGGCCAAAAAGACTCTGTTAAAGGCACTTCATATGTGCTGTCCGAGTTTTCGGAGTCCGAGCTTACTCGTAAGCGTCAAGGTTTATTCATTGCTGCACGTAAGCTCTTTGGTATTAGACAAGTTTGGTCACTCGATGGTAATATACACGTCAACTTGCTTTGTCGTAAGCACCATCGGCTGACAAACACCAAGGACCTCGAAGAGATCATTATACAATATGGACAGCTTGCTGCATCGGATCGACCATCTGATTCCACGACGAAGAAAGTGTCACCAAATGTTAACGCACGCACGGTAGTGCACCAAAGTGGACAGTGAGGTCCAAGCGCATAATTCGCAACAAATAACTCTCATCGACTTCGCTTTATTCTCATGTTGGATTTAATTTGTAAACCGTCATATTTATTTGTTATTTGTCTTATTATTATTGATAACAACTGGGCATATTTGTTAAGATACTATAATAATGGTAGCATAATCTTTATTTACCTACATATTAAGTAATATTTTTTTATTAACTCGCTTTACGGCTCTGGGTTCTAGCACTTCTGAGCCTAAGTAATATTATGCTGAACTAATACCATAGATAACATATTATAACTAAGACATAATTATGGAGTGTAGAAGTAAGGAGTACAGACTGTGTATTAAAAAGTGTCCATATAAACCTTTAAATAAGGGTGGCGCCACTATAGCTACGGTGTAAATTTTAAAGAACGCACCGAAAATATTAATGGGATAGACGACTTTTTCGAGGTTATATTTAATAAATAAAATTATTTTAGATTTTAGAGCTACTGAGCAGTTTAGCAGCACACGTAAACCGTCGACAACTGCTAAGTTCATTTCATCCTAGTAGCTACTCCAGCGCTGTTATGGAGAGTTTTTGAACTGTTATTTACTGCTTACAGATGACTACTTTTTCAATTATTCTAATATGGGAGTTGGTACTCTGGTATTATATATATATATATATATATATATATATATATATATATATATATATATATATATATATATATATATATATATATATATATATGTATTATTTTATTATATTCGAATAATTATTTTAAATATTTTATTTAATTTCAGATGATGAATCTTTTTATTCCACTTGCAACAGCTTCTCTTCCCTTTCACTTGTTGATGCTTCGGATGAGCCTGCCACGTACCGTACGCTAATATACGAAAAATCTCAAAAATTGTTTTCACATTTGCCATTTAAATGCACAAAGCATTCCATCAACATCATACGGAGCTCCTGGATACTTTCTCTTCTAATGCAATTTATGCTATACTCATATCCGAAAGCTGGCTCAAGCCAGAACTCTCTTCAACGTCTTATAGTCTTCCAGGTTATATTTTACTCCATAACGACCGCACTGGTAAAAGAGGCGGAGGTGTCGCTATCTATCTGCGTAGTAATTTACCTTATAAAATATTAAACACATCTTCTTCCGTATATTCCGGTTCAATGGAATACATTTTTGTTGAAGTTAATGTCAAGAGTGTTAAAGTGTATATTGGAGTTGACTACTGTGCACCTCAAGTGGACTACTTCTCCGATTTGGAAGTAAATTTACTGCCTTACAGTTCTGCCTACACACATCACATTATCATGGGAGACTTTAACACTGACCTATCCGGGATTTTTCTTAAATCTTCGAAACTGAGGTCGACCATGTTGTCGCATAATTTCACTATTTTGCCTCTAAATGCAACACATCACAACTTCCACTCTGCTGACACTTGGATTGACCTTATAGCCGTCTCCTTCGTTGATCACGTTGTCAATTATAGACAATTCCCTGCTTATGGATTTTCACGACATGACCTGCTTTATCTGTCATATAAATTAAAGTCTTTCAAGCCTTTATCTGTGTCCTTCTCTATTTGTAGTCTTGCTAGAATACATATGGACAAGCTTAAGTGCGATGCGGATGCTATTAACTGGTCATCTGAATATACTGCTTCCACAGTTGATGAAAAAGTCGACTTCTTTAATAGAAACATATTAGGACTGTATAATAAACATGCTCCTAAACGTGTTGTTCGACTGAAGCGTCCTCCTGTTCCATGGATCACGATTGGGGTAAGAATGGCTATGGCTAAATGCGATAGAACTTTCCGTGCTTTCAAGAAGAATCGCAATGATGTAAAGTGGAAAGCATATAAAGCTACAAGAAATCGATGCAATCAGATAGGGAGAGTTGCTAAACGCCGATATATCCACAAACAACTACTTAATACATCTTCGGCTCATATATGGAAGTTTCTGAATACGCTTGGATATGGAAAATCGCAATTTGACTATAATAGCGTCACCTTTTCTCCGATTTATGACGATTTTAATCGTCATTTTCTGTCTTCTCGAATAGTTTCTGATAATTCTAAAGCTATTGTTATCTCTTTTATATCTTTCATGCCTCCTTATTCTCATGAAACTTTCACTTTTACTCCTGTAGACGAAGACGAGGTACGCAAAGCACTTTCGTCTATTAAATCGAAAGCCGTTGGATGTGATGATTTGAGTAGGGTAATGGTTTTGCACGTGCTGGATTCTGTTTTACCCGTGCTAACTCATTTAATTAACTTTTCGCTGACGAACGGTGCTTTTCCAACTCTCTGGCGTAAAGCCTTTATTATTCCCATCCCGAAATCTACTGAATGCAGCGCTTTATCTAATTTCAGACCAATTTCTATCCTGCCTTTTCTTTTTAAGGTTCAGGAAGCTGTTGCTCATAAACAGATTTCTTCTTTTGTTTTCTCAAAGAATATTTTTCCTCTTATCAGTCTCTTCTCAAGGTTACGGAAGATATTCGTGAGGGGATGGAAAAATCAAAACTGATCGTTCTCATCTTAATTGATTTTTCTAATGCATTTAATTCTGTCGATCATGGTATCTTGTTAGCTCTTCTTACTCATTTGAATATCTCGTTTTCAGCTCAGGAATGGTTCTCAACATATCTTCGAAGGCGCCAACAGGCTGTGCGAACTGGCTATTACTATCTAACTTGCGTGATGTGTCAATTGGCATCCCTCAAGGCGGATATAATATATATATATATATATATATATATATATATATATATATATATATTGTTTTATGTATTGTTTATTACATATATATTTTTTAATCCTCTCTATTTGATTATTGCTGCACCGCCTCCATAATGTTTATCTCTGTTTATCCTAATGGTTGACTGGGAGAGAATGCCCTATGGCATTAAGTCCGCCATATGTACTTTTTTGTGCATGAAAGCATAAATAAATAATTAAAAAGGAACTGGTGTCGTTAATTCGTCTCCCAAGGGTTTTTAAGAGACGGCAAAAGAGCATGCGGTTAAGTTACTACCGACAACCATGAACAATTGCGACACTAAGGGATATAGGTGCGTTCCCGCCTTTCAAAAAAGAGTAGGCTTTAGTCGCAACTAGTGCGAGGCCAATGTAAAATCCAATTTAGCAGTAGACGTTTGATTGACTTTAATGGTCTCTTACGATAGTTATGAATCAAAATGCGCAATGGATGCTTATTCGTCGCTATCACACGCCAGATTATTAAACACAATTTTTATTAAATACCTCACTCACCTTTTCTCTGTTTTGCCGCAAAAGGTAAACGGGGCTTTCAGTTACAGTTATCAAAAGTGCCACTCCCAGTATGCTGCACACCAGGTTCACCCACACGATGTATCGGTAGGTCAGATACCAACCCAGTATGTAGGACATTTGAATGCCTATACAATACAATGCCATTGGAACTGTGAAAAAGAACGGTATTTAAAGATGACTTTCTTTTATTCTTCTTTATAAGTAAAAGTCAAAGTCAAATATTTTTATTCAAAATTGGCTTTTACTAAGCACTATTTGAATATCAAACGCTACTCCATCGCTTCTATAAGTCCCTGCTGCGGACATACAAATCGACTATTTTTCTCCCAGCAGTTACAAATCATCCTTTTAAAATACATACATCCGTAAATCTATATAAGAAAAAGTTTAAAAAATGAACTCGAGAGAGTCCACTGACTAAATTGCCACACTTGGCACGTGACTGGTAAATGCAATAGCCGAAGTCTCACACTATTTATTAATTCCATTCATTCATTTCGTTCATTGCATTCACTACTTTAATTACATTCATTTATTCTTTGTTGTTATTCTCTATCGATGGTCTGGGTATTAACATGTGAAATAAACGTGATGTTTATATTATCATCAACTGGAAGCTTTAAGGTCTATATGGGATTTCCCGTAGTCGTCTATATCACTAATGATGGATTTTATCAAAAATAACCAAAATTAAATGAATCAAACTGAACAAAAAATTAAATTTTTTGCTCTATTGACTCCAGACAGCAGAAACTTATTGCTAGCTGTATTTCAGGCTGCTAGCTGTGAATCATAAAAAGGTGTTAAAGCTAAAAGGCAAATAACATTAACATTACTCAAATTATATTAATTTCTCTACACATTCCATCCGTTAATTACATCCTATATAATTCCACTGCTGAACTTAGGGCTTGCTCACAGTTTCCATGCTTAGCAGGCGAGTAAGTAACCACAGTTTTTATAATTTTGAGTTGTTATCAGGAAGATGATGCTACCTGTATCCTCTTTCAGTTTCACTCTGTTGCCACTTAAGACACCCACGGGACGATGTAGGGTAGGGTAGTAGTTTTATACCGCCACTACACGCTTATGTCTCGATCGCACGACAATTATTTATTATATAATACTATTAAAATTCAAAGTTAATACCAGATGCCAGTGTCCCTCTTATAGATTCCTCAGCGATCTCCGAAATAAACATAGGCGCGTAGACGAAGGCATGACCGCAACCTAATCCTCCAATGAACCTTCCTATTAGGATCATCGTTGATGTAGAAGAGAAATCGATCATTGCCCATGATACCTTGGGATAAACAAAGCTATTGTGTATCCTTGGTGTTAAATTAAAATTCAAAATAAGTTGTACATTTTTAAAATTATAATATACGAAATCAAAAAAATCTGTTTTATGACCAAAAATGACGTTAGCACTTAAAGAAGACGGGCATTTCTGGGCCCATTTGTAATAAGTTGAAATATGGTTAAAAAAACGTTATATTTTTCTATTTCAAAATATAAAAAATTAGCCCAATTCACAATCTGGAAGACGAGAAATCTTAAAAATAAGTTTACACCACGAACAAAATAAGAAATCGATTACTTTAATCGATTAATATGATTGAGTTTCGACACGTAAATATAAAACCAACTTACAGCAGATAATTGATTCAATCAGTGTTATTACATAAATTACAATTAATATATTGTTAACAGTTTCAAAAATAAAATATCAACATCATTAAAGTAAATCTTAAAATCGATCCTCGTTTACAGGTCTGTTCAAAAAGTATCGCGATATTTGAATTTCCGCGGGCTACGTATATTTTATTTTTGATTTTTTTGTAGACTTATGTTGGTACTCATGTCCCTTACTTACGCTGACAAGGTCGGCCATTATGAATGTTTAGTTAATTTTTGACAGCTGTTTTGCTTGGATGTGTTTTGTCTCGTCTTCGATTTTTGCCTATTCCAAAAAATGGATCAAAGAATCTGTATTAAATTTTATGTGAAAAACAAAATAAAGTGCGCGGACGTATTCCGAATGTTGACTGTGGCATATGGTGAAGCTACCTTAGATCAAAGCAACGTTTATCGGTGTTACAAAATGTTCTCAGAGGGCCGAGAAGATGTGAACGACGAACAGCATACCGGACGCCCGAGCACGTCAACAACAGACGATAACAACGACAATAACAAGAAGAAAATATTAATTGTCAATCGTCGAATCACCGTTAGAAAAGTTGCTGAGGACCTAAACATATCGATTGGCTCATGCCATTCGATTGTAAGTAGTGATTTGGGCATGAGTCGGGTCGTCGCGAAATTCGTGCCAAAATTCCTCAATTTCGACCAAAAACAGCATCGCGTTAACATTGCTTAGGTGATGTTGGACTCGGTCTATGACGACCCAAATGTGCTCCAGGGGGTCATAACTGGTGACGAATCATGGGTTTATGGTTATAACGTAGAAACCAAAGATCAATCATCCCAATGGAAGTTGCCGCATGGGCCGAGACCGAAAAAAGAGCGCCAATTTCGGTCGAACATGAAGTTGCGCACAGTTTTCTCCGATTACAGGGCCGTGGTGCATCATGAATTAAGTAAAAGTACGGTCAATAAGGAATATTACCTGCAAGTTATGCGCAATTTGAGTGAAGCAATCCGCCAGAAACGCCCAGATTTGTGGAAGAACAAAAACTGGCTATTGCACCATGATAACGCCTCTGCTCACACATCATGCTTGTTGCGCAAATATTTATCCAAAAACAACACAGTAATAGTCCCACCGCCACTGTATTCCTCAGACCTGGCCCCCTGCATCTTTTTCCTGTCCCTAAAACTGAAGAGGGCCATGTAAGGACGACGCTACGCCACGATTGAGAAGATAAAGACGGCATCGAAGGAGGAGCTGAAGAAGATCACGAAAAATGAGTCACAAGTGAATTATATCCGAGGGGGATCACTTTGAAGGAGACAAAATAGATATTCATGAATAAATAAATACTTTTTGAAAAAATACAAAATTAGCGTTACTTTTTGAACAGACTGTGTATAATGCGCCAAATTTTCAGTGATGTTTTTATATTTATATTTTATTTATATTTATATTTTAAAAACAGTGTACATGCTGGCTTACAGTTTGCCCAAAACGTCAGCATGCTAATTAACAAATTACAGTTTTAAATAATAGTAATAATACAAGATACATGTCAAAAGGTCAAAAAAATTAAGGAATACGTGTCCAGTATATCAACTAAATACCAAAATAAAAATACATGCCAAATAGATTAAAAGTCAAATAAGTTAAGCAAAATGTCATTGTCAGATTGATTACATAAGATAGGATTAAGAGAATACTAATAATATTACAATTTGTCAAAATGGGATGTCAAAAATAGAAGGGCTATACACAGTTGCCCTAAGCTAATATCAAATAAATCGGTCTCGTTATAATCTGCGAGCATGTCTCTGATAAGCCGTATAGCACGAGAAGTGGGCGCGTGAGCGCCGTACCTGGTGCGCGCCGGCGGCTGCTACAGAAGGCGAGGACGCCGCCGTGGTGCCACCGTCCCCTCCACATCACAGCCCAGCCACTTCGGAGCCTACAACCCTACTCTACTTAATATCATCGGACTATCTATACGATTATGGATGATTGCTAGGTAGTGTGTTATCAACTGCATAGTTCGCCTAAATTTAAGCGTGTCCAAACCCACCATACCATTAACAAATAAGGACGGATATAGATAGGGGTAGTAACCGTATTTCTGTTTATATAGCCATCGTGCAAATTTGCGCTGTATTCTCTCTATCATCAAAATATATTTTTCCTCGTAGGGATTCCATACAATGGCACCGTACTCAAGCTTACTACGAACATATGCATTGTAAAGTACCAAAGCGACCTCTAATTTATCAAACTGTGAAGAAGTGCGAATAACGAAGCTAAGCAATTTACTGGTCTTTTTACATACAGTAGTCACATGGTTATGAAAGTCAAGTTTAGCGTCTAACAATAATCCTAAGTCACGAATTTCACTTACCCTTAACAAGGGCGTGTCAGATAATTTATATTCTTTTTTTAGTGGACAGCGTTTAAGCGTGAATGTTATTATTTTACATTTATTACTATTAAACGGAAGATGATTTAATACACTCCAATCCATAACCGCATCGATGTCCTTTTGCAATGACTCGCAGTCAGACGGGTCATCTATACCTAGGCTTAACTTGAGATCATCCGCGAACAACAGACATTTGGAGGCAGTCACGCTATTCGGTAAGTCATTAATGAAAATAAGAAAGAGCAAAGGCCCCAACGTACTTCCCTGGTTCACTCCAGATCTTGTGTAATAGTCACTAGACTCAAATGCACCCACTTTAACAAACTGACGTCGATCGCGTAAGTAATTTGAAAAAATTTAATTTGACGAGTGCCGGGGCAAAGCCTATCACCGCCCATTTACGCAACAAGATATCGTAGTCGACCAGGTCAAATGCTTTCTTAAAATCGAAGTACGCAGCATCCACCTGCCTACCAGCATCCAATTCAGCATATGTATAGTCAAGACGAGACACAAGATTGATAGTTGTAGAACGGGCAGTTCGAAAACCGTGTTGACTATCATGCAATAATTTTTGAGTTTGCTTATTAATTTGCTGACATAAGACAGTTTCAAATAATTTTGCAAAGACTGACAAGACTGCAATCGGTCTAAAAGACGAAAGGTCATTTTCACCATCAGTTTTTGGAACCGGAGTAACCCTAGAAACTTTCCACATTTCTGGATACTTATACTGAGTCAGTGACAAGTTAAAGAGGTACAGGAGTGGACTCTCGAAAGCGGATATGCAGTCCTTTGCTAAAAAAACAGGAATGCCATCAGGGCCACACGTCGACCTCGGTTTTAGCCGCCTTACTGCTTCCTTCAACTTGGTATTATCAATAGTATTTATTGTGATACAGGTGGAGTCATATTGACTATCTGCGGCACGTACCGCATCATCATGGTCCAGTTCAGGAACTTTGTTCTGATATACCGAACTAAAATAGTTCGCAAAAGCGTCAGCCGCAGATTGCCCAACAACTTCGACACTACTGGAAGAATACGCTGCCTGTGATTCTTCCTATTCTTAACGTACTCCCAGAATTTGGCCGGGTCGTCAATTATATTTTGTTGAGTCAGATGTAAGTGCTGCTTATATGCATTGTCAATCAAGTTTTTAACATGCCATCTATTGTATTTAAATAATTCCCTGTTGAACTCTTTACCTTCAGCCTCATACCGTTTCAAATGATAATATTTTTTACGTATATTACATATAATATCGGCATTAAACCATTTTGGATATACGTACTTATAATTACGGCATGTAAGGGGATTTAGTGGAACATATTGACGTAATTATAAAGACGGTGATAGAATAACGCAACTGTCTGCAATTACAAACATGTCCGACCAATCTATACTTTTTAATGCCATGTATAGGCCCACAAAGTCTGCTATACGCCAATTCCAGCTTGGAGCAGCTCCCGGGCTCTGAGCCGGCGGTGGAGAGGATGGTGACTGGACCTGCGCATCGCACTGAAACCTAAGCGTCACCTCCAGCGGAGGGTGATACTTATCAATTGGTACTAAGGGATCTGAATCCTCGGACACTAAGACCAGCTCCGGGTTAAAATTGCTCAACACGAGATCTAACATGCCATCATATTTGTTATACACAATATTATGTTGCTGAAGCCCACAATAGTCACAAAATGAATTAAAATAATTCTTAACATTAACACTACAAGAATTCAAATTAAAATCTCCTATTATTAGGACATTAAGAGAATAATATGCAATGATAGCATTTTCAATGCACGTCAATACGTTGAGATATAGATTATCACTACATTTAGGAGGCAAATAAACGACTCAACATAAAAACTTTCCAACACTTTTTCCACTAATAATGGCAAAAAGCAGTTCCATATCAGACGTATAGGCATCTACATTAGTTAGATGTTGCACCGTATAGTAGTTTCGTACAACAAGGAGCACTCCTCCCCACCCGACGTCCCCTGTGCGGTCTTTACGTACGACTAAATATTCTGAAGTAAATAATTCGCCATCAAATACGGAACTGATCAAAAAGGTTTCGGTCAAGGTCAATAACATCAAAGTTGCATTGAGACACATTATTCCTAAAAGTATCCGATTTAGTACGTAGACCTCTAACGTTTTGATAACAGAAATATAGGTTACGCACTTTCTTTCTTGGCACGAAAGTTCTGCCGCCACGGTTTTATACAGATGTATTCAGTCCAATTATTTGATGACATGACACTCTCGCTAATCCTCGACGGGACTCCAAGCTTGAAGGATGAGTAACGTCCCCTTGCATTCAGTTCTTCCACTGTGCAATCATTATTTCCACTAATAGAGATGAGCACGCACCTCTTCTACTGTGGTACCCTCTTGAACATAATAGAGATGCAAGTACCTCCATCTCTCAGATGCACGCAGTTTTGTCACCCCCAGCGCTGCAGTACCGCGAAACACGCCGCGCAGCGAAGCGCGTCCAGTTTTACGTCTCACCGGTATCCATTCTTCCGGGTCTTTTTGCTCCACGCCATCCCGGGGAGCAACAGTTGTCTCACGGCTTACACTCAAAATCGAAGTGTTGGAATCAGAGACTAAAGTTGAAACTGGCGCTAAAGAAGAGATGGGTGTGTTTACTTTTGCGGGTGGATTAGGTTTGCCCGAAGCTCCCTTATTTTTCTCCTGAGGGCCAGATTTCCTCCCTAAGATGTTAACTACAAAGACGCTCGACGACGACGACCTTTTTTTTATAAGCTATTGATTAACAACTCTTTCGTCTTTTTACAATCTGGGCCCAAGAATGTTTGAAAGCGTATCAGTCTCCTTTATTATGTGCAAGAATGTAAGGTATTATAGAAATTAAATTTAGTTTTAAATGTGACTTGTTATATTAGAAAGATAAAATTTAAAGAAGTTGACTATCAAAGATATTAGTTATGTTTAAATAAGTATTGCGTTATTTTTTATTACATACTTTATAAGCATATTATAATCATTACGTTAGAATTATTCTTTATAGACTATTTTACTGTGAAACAAGGCACTCCATCGCCCTACTCAGGGGTGACAACGCACTCTACACTTTGATTCCCAATCGAGGATAGATGTAGATGTCTATGGCCCGCAATATCATTCACCATCACACTTGTGTTACTACAACAAAAACGAATTTAATACATATCAATGTGATCCTAGCTCCAGTAAAAGGTTAACCTGAGTAACAGCAGCTAAGATGTAAAAATGTGACGTGTTAAAGCAAATCCTCCTTTCAACGGTAAAGGCTCAAGTAAACTTTTATGGGCTGGTAAAGAAATACAAAATACCCAATAGTAAAAATAACATATAATATTTTTCTTACCACGAATGGCAGAGCTATCAGCATCCCACCCTTTTGTCTTCCAAATTTCCCAATCACAACACCAGTTAGAGCAGTCCCGATCATAGCTCCAAGAGATGGGAGGCTGCCTAGTAAGGAGCTCTCTACATCTGTCATTGACGTCTTAAGTAACGTTGTATGGCTGTCTTTAAATAGCCCTAATGTATATGAGGGCCATACATAAAGCAACCCCGCAAGCAGTGCGCCAAATGAACCTAGAAAAGTTAATTGTTGTTAAAAAAAAGAAACAAAAGCTTACAGACACATATACACAATCGCACATACTTATACTCGCCAAAAGTCATCTACTACTTGATTTCAACACGCTGTGTTGACTGAGAGAGAATGTCATCGAGCATTAACCCTTTGTTTCGTTATTAGGTGGAACAATATTTTTTAAATGAAAGCGTAAACTTCACTGCAGTAGTACAATTGTACTAACTAAAATTATTCTAAAATTACCGGTAAGCGAAAAGTCCACTAGAATCAACTAGATGTAGCAACAACCTGGTTATTCTCATTTTTAAAAAATTATGAAAACAAAACAAAACACGGTCATGGCAGTAGTCAGTTTCAGTGACAGATATAGATTGTCACGTTAAAATAATATTTGCTCAAGTATCATTATCCTGGGAAAAACAGAAAAAATACTTTGTTTGAACTAAACGCTGCATAGACACACATATTTGTCAGTATTACTACTACTACTAGTAGCACATACATATTGGCCAGTTTTGAACAATAGTGGACTTGGTGTGCGTAGCTTCAGGATTTTAAATAAATACCGGAGAAAGGCAAGATAATTTTTTGTTACGCTAAGATAGTGCGGTTTACTATCTAGAAGACATCACTCACAACCAGCTGCGATTTTAGTCGATTACTGGATTTTATAAATAACAATATATAATAAATAAAAAAGAAAGAAGAAATCCGTCTCTGTTCTAGTTAACAAAATCTAAAAAACGGTTTTATTTTGCAGGCAATCCCTGGAACTTTCCACTATTTTCGATCTCAAAATGATCGAAAAACGTACGCACACGCACACGCACACGCACATGCACATGCACATGCACACGCACACGCACACGCACAAGCACACGCACACGCACACGCACACGCACACGCACACGCACACGCACACGCACGCGACACGCACACGCACACGCAACGCACACGCACACGCACACGCACACGCACACGCACAAGCACACGCACACGCACACGCACGCACACGCACACGCACACGCACACGCACACGCACACGCACACGCACACGCACACGCACACGCACACGCACATGCACATGCACACGCACACGCACACGCACACGCACAAGCACACGCACACGCACGCGCACACGCACACGCACACGCACACGCACACGCACACGCACACGCACACGCACACGCACACGCACACACACACACGCACACGCACACGCACACGCACGAGCACACGCACATGCACACGCACACGCACACGCACACGGAAACGCACACGCACAGGCACACGCACACGGACACGCACACGCACACGCACACACACAAGCACATGCACATGCACACGCATACGCACGCCCACACGCACACGCACACGCACATGAACACACAAGCGTGCGCGTACCTCTTTTTAGGAATAGTCAGAATAGCTTCCTAGGACCTCAAAACGTCGAGGTCTGATGAAACCTCTATTTTCGAATACTGGATGAAACAAATAACTTCCCGATGTTTTGAAAATCGTTGCTTTTCTTAGCTAACATTTGCTTATAATTATGAAATGAGAGTTGAACTAAAAGCGGTCAGCTAAACTTTATTTTGTTAACACTGTGGCAATATAATAAGCCAAGTTTATACATTAATCGTTGTAGTGAAGACTCATTAAATAGCACTCAATACAACAGCCGTATCGAGCTAGAGAGGGTTCGGTTGGGGTTGGGCCCACTGAATAAGTCTGGACGATTGGCTGTAATTTATTACACGAATCGTGTTCCACAATACAGTAAAAAAAATTTGTGTTAAGATAATTAAAGAAACGTCATCGTCATCTTCACAGCATCACAAGTTCACTGCTGAACAAAGGCATTCTCCAAGGAATGCTTCAATGCATGTTCTTGGGCCACCTGCATCTATCGATTTTTATTCACTTACTAGCTGTGCCCGCGACTTCGTTCGCGTGGAATCAGTACTTTTGCTATACTATAGTCAACCAAATCTAAGAAATATATGCCAACCAAAAAATGAAAACGTACAATATTCGATTCTTAAATAAATCAATATCGATTATTTAGAGTTTGTAATCATTTACAGTTTGGTGTGAATAATACCAGAATAAATTAAAAACGAATAATTTTAAAATAAGAGTTATCAGTTTTTTCGTTTTTGTTGTTACTGCTTATTTCTAGATGCAAAATTATAAAAATTTAGGATTGAAAATAGATTAAAAATAAATTTATTCAATCACTTTCAGTACAAGTAGTTGAGTTGTCGTTGTTTAGATTAATTATTATTTGATTTTCAATAATGCAGTAAAAATTAATGTCTCTTACAAAGTCATCCATAATCAATTTTTTTCTACATTTTTTGTGTCATCCTTTGCGAAATGGGCACATGCTTCAACGAATATAGAAGAAACGGTCCAAAAAGTTAAAGCCGAGTCACAAAATAAGAAGACAAATACAAAATCACAATATTTCTCATAGTAAGCTCCCGAAATGGCGGGAAATTGAAATTTCAGTGCGGCATTGCATATACGTTTTTATGTCTACACGTTGACAAAGTAAAAAAATAAATAAACTTGTTTTATTCATGATTCATATAATTTGACAGTGTTTCATCCCAATGCCCCAGAGAGCACGTAAAGCCGTTTTATCTGTATCTAATCTCACTATATTTTTGTCGGATTACTAACTCTGACACAATGATATATAGACAATTTTTAATAGTTTGTGTATAATGGCCAATAGGGGCAGATTTTTGTAAAGTTCTATAATAAGTATTATTCATAATTATCATAATATCGTTTTACGGATTTCCCCACCAACATGCAATTAAATTTTATTTTTTTCCGCGCAAAACATGTACCTATCCTGGTTTTCACACTTTGAGGGGAGATATTAAGGAAATAAAAAGAAAAATTAAAACTAAATACATTATTTTAATCCCAAATTAATCGTACTAATTTTAATGTTACAATAACCATTTAATAATTTTTCCCTATACCAGTATGAAATTACCTCGTAAAAATATTCTTAAAACCTTATTTTACTATCTAAGGATTTTAATTTTCAAGAATTCTTTCTTAGTAAAAGGAAACCTACCTACCTACTTAATAAAAGGAAATTATTGTGCGAATTTCACACATCTACATCCAGCGGTTTGACCTGTAGATTTAATACAATATTTTTCATACAAAATTGGAACCCTTTTTTTCAAACCTTAAGAGGCAAATTTTATTATTTAATTACTTTAAAGCATTAATATTTTTCTCTCTTCAAATTCAATATTATCTACCCTCTTCTCCCTCCTCCGGTAAGAAGTTGTTTTAAGAAATGCCAAAATATTTTATATACACACAAAATTTCTCTCCCAATCCTCTCCAAAATCCCTCTGCTCCTGCCCCCTCTACCGTAACGGGTTATTTTGAAATCGCAAAATACGTATTTATTAAAATGAATATGTTAAATAAAATTAAAAAAGACATATGTTAAATATGTATTTTTTAATTTTTTTAAACAGAATACTCGTAATAAGTATCGATATGTAACCTCTCGAATGTCGCGGCCATTTTGGCCAATATGGCGCATCTGTCAAGCGCTCCCATCAGGGACTACTTTCAGACTACTTCCTCCTGTTCATTAAAATGACTATACCAAGACATTTTGTATCAAAGGTATATTAAAGTCATATATCAATGGAAACTTTATTAAATAAACTATTAGATTATGTATAACTTAAATACAGGTTTACTTCGAAAGCGATACTTATTTCAAAGTGAAAGTAAGAAAAGTGTTTTTTTTCGCCAATTTTTGCAAAGGTGTGATAATAATAAAAATAATAAACTATAACTCCCTTATTTCACCCTCTTAGGGATCGAATTTTCCAAAATAATTTCATAGCGGATTTCTACGTCATAAAAGCTCTACCTACTACCTACTGTCCAAATTTTAGATTTCTACTTCAAGCTGTTTAGGTTGAGCTTGTGCACTGGTATCTATTACTCAGTATATAAATAATATGTTATAGTAGATACAGTGAACAGTGATATTTTTCGGTATATAACAAAACTAACTTTACAGCAAATTAAATTTTATTCTGTTGAGGAAATCGATGGGAAGGCCTGTGTTCAGTAGTGAACTTTAAAATGCTGTAACGTTTATTGGATAAAATGAAGAAACTTAGATTTGCTGGTCCAATACAAAAATTGCGTTGAAAGCAGCAAACAAAGTAATTATTTACATGTTATGTATTATGTACATATTCCTTTATATCTCATTTATAATTAAACCCTATAGTGCTAAAAAATACTTGTAGCGCCATCTATATAAAATTATAATAGTTAAATTATTACTACAGTAAACTAAAAATGATATAATATTTAGAAAATAACGGGTAGGAATAATATTTAAAAAAAACTCAAAATCAGGTAACGTAATTTTTCAATTTCACGACAATGTAAATTTTAAAACATTTACCTAAAGTAGGAAAATAGGAAGTATAATATGTTAACTGCCAAGCTTTTATGATCCTTGCCGAACCCAAAGAAATTGTTAATACCTCTCGGTGGTTAAGAAAAAACTTATAAGCACACCAAGTTAAAATTTAATAAATAATTTGTACAACACCATCTATCGATGACATTGGGTAACTTTTGTACTTTTTTAACTAAGATATTAGTATTTTTACTTTTTTTATAAATATTTATTACGTCATTCTTTATTATTTTTGTTTACTGCGTTTAGATACAATTATATCATTATAGAACACTATTTTACATTATTTAATTACAAATGTGTCCTTGATTACTCAACGCCAACATTAAACAAATTCATACCCTTACTTCGTACCCATACTTCAGAATATTAATCATAACTTTTAATAGGATGAACCGATTTTAAAGAAACAAAGACTAAATTTAAAACAATGATACGCTCCAGTATTTCCTGACGATTATTTTCATATAAATTAGTACTTTATAAATGATACGTTAACAAACAAAC